TTTCAGCAAACAGATCTCACCATAAATAGAAGAGCTGAAGACCATATCAGACTGGTGAATAGTGTCCATATACATAAAACATATAGAGACAGAGTACATTTTAGTAATTAGGTAACCAGCACAGATTAATATACTACTCCTGTTTATGTTTTAGAAGTCGTTTTTTAAAATTATTAGATAATCTCTAGTGTCAAAAATGTTTTACGAAAAAAAGTTTAATTTTACATTTTGCTGAGATAAAAAGGTAAAAACAGCAGGTTGGGTTGATAAAGAGACACAAAACAAGTTTATTTAATACCAATTTAAAAAGTGTAATGATGATAAGCAAAACATAGGAACCTGTAGCAACCAATTATGCTTTCATTTACAAAAGTCAAATTAGTTAAAACATAATTTACAAAGGTAAATTAGATCAAATCTAGATTGTTGCTGTGGGTGTTGCACAGTGCACCACTGCTCTCTGCACTTCTGCACAGATCAAGTAAAACATTGTATGTAATATTTAATACAAGAGTGTGACTTTTTTCTTTGGCAGCTTCAACTTCCGGGCTTTGCGATGGACTCGAGCCATGATGTTTGCAATTGATGAAATTAATAAGCGCAAGGACATCCTACCAGATATAACCCTGGGGTACCAGATATTTGACACGTGTTTTACTATATCCAAATCAGTGGAAGCCACTTTAACATTTCTAACTGGCCAGAATGAAACCCATCCAAACTTCAGGTGCAGTGCCGGAGCTCCCCTGGCTGCTGTGATTGGAGCAGGGGGATCTGCGTTATCCATTGCTACAGCCAGAATACTGGGGTTGTACTATTTCCCACAGGTAAAATGGCTATTGTCTTTATGATCTAATGCATGCAGCTTTTAGTGTTAGTTTATGTGTCGCTAATCAGGCATTGATAATATGTAATCTCATATATTATGAGCAAAGTATGCCAGAACATCTGTTCTTACTGCCAATGCTCCACTGTGATTTGTTCTGGCATTATGTCTTTTTTTAATATTTGTTACATGTTGTCTCAGTATATCTCAGAAATAAGCTTATTTGGACCTGGGGGCACTCTGTGACTGAAGGACAAGAGGTTTAACCTCTTAAAATGTGGAATAGACTTTCACTGGAGTTAGCTCCACCCAACTTAGTGTATTGCTTCAAAAAATACTTGATGTGTTTCTAAATGCAGGAAATAGAGGTGGATATTTATAGTTATAATACCGCTTGTAGACTGTTGATCCAGAAAGTTATCAAACTGTCTTTGAGGATCAGCATCCTTGTTAGATCCAACTGGACCGGGCTTTATAAGGATGTTTGCTTTTTTCTGGATTAATTGTGGGTTTAGGGTTTCTCGGGTGTTTTTTTTATTAGGTTTATTATTTTTGTTTATCTGCTGGAAATGCCCTTACAATAAACAGGGTTATATTCACTTAAGAGTAGAACCTTACTGGTTTTTTTTACATTGATTTATACTTGTCCACATATAAAGGTATCTTACAGTTAGGAAATTACACCACAGGGAAAGCTTTTAAAAAGTTGGTATATACTTAAAAGCTTAAAGGCAGCTTTGAACTTCACTTTCTCATTTATAGTTTACAGGGGGTGCACTTAGTACTTGTGGCAAATAGGTGATGTGTTTGTGTGTTTAGTCAATATGGGATTATTCTGTGATTAGGTATTTTATTAATGAGCTAAAAAAAGTCTTATGCATGTATATACCTATAATCCAATCCATTGTGAATATGGCTGTATTCTTGAATAGCATCCCTCTGGAAAAATCATTAAGTGCAGTTATGTCTGCAGTATTTACTTTATATCTTACATAATCTAGCAGAGAAATGCTACATTTTCAAATATCTAACGGTATCAGTAGGGGAATGGTAAAAGACACAGCCACCCGAGAAATTTCAACATATGAACAACTTAAATTAGTAAAGGATAAGGCATATTGAGCAGAATTGTTGACTACACATATACACAAAGCAAAATATTGGCTTTCTGATTAGCTTTGCCCAAACAAAACTGAGGTAAATTGTAGCCTCTGGCTTATTTCTATTGCTAAATATTGATGAACTGCATTAATATGAGATCCTAGTAAATATATTGTAGATGGATGCATGTGTTGCTGACTTAGTTACACTTAACCTTAAGTGGACAAATACTGTGCCTTGCATCACCCTAGAGAACTTGCAAACCAGATGGGCTTAAGCAAGGTTATTTGTATGTTGTTTAATTGCCATTGGCTCTCAGGTGTCTTTGCCCTATTTAGTAAGTAGTGGTTTAAAGCCCTTAGTGCAAAGCAAGCATTCATATTTTTATGCATGTCTGCTTCCAGCTCTTGGATTATGCTTAAAGTGATAGTAAAGTCAAAAGGTTTCTATGCTATTCCAAATGCTGATAAAATCACCTACAATGGATGCTGCCACTCGATGTTTAATTGTTTTAGTTTTCTACAGAATCAGCTCGTCCCTGAGCACTGGTCCTGTTATCCTGTTTTAGGGTGGCTCCTTTCCCTTGCAGGACCCTATAAAGCCACCCTTGTGTGTGCTAGTAAGCTGTGTGCCTCTCCACGAACACACAGGCACAGCAAGACAAGCCTATACCCTGCTCCCCGCTTTCCTTCATCCCTCTTCCTCTTTGCCAACTAGTACATGGACAGTTGCTGGAGACTTTGCTGTCCTCTCTGATCTTGTACTCATCAAGAGGTTCAGGGAAGTGGAGCTGAGACAGTTGGAGCCAGCTGTTTGGAAATATAATGAAGTGCTTGGAAAGAAATACATTGATGGGTAATGTCGATTTGTTTGAAGTGGATTCATGATTGAAAAAGAGTTTAATACTTTAATGCAGCATAATGTAAAACTAAGAATTGTTTATTTATTTTTTTACAGGTGGGATACGCTTCCTCCTGCTCTGTGCTCAGCGACAAATTTCAGTTTCCATCCTTTTTGCGCACTATACCTAATGATTTAGCCCAGTCCAAAGGTTTTGCTGATCTAGTCACATATTTTGGATGGACATGGGTGGGAACAATAGCAGCAGATGATGACTACGGCAAATACGGTATCAAAGTTTTCAAAGAAGAGGTAGAAAAAAATGGTGTGTGCATTGCTTTCTCTGAAACGCTCCCAAGGATCTACAACAAAGAATCAATAGATACTATTGTGAAAGCAATACGTCTAACAACAGCCAATGTCATTGTCATATTTTCTTCAGACATCGATCTTAGTCCATTAATGGAAGCCCTGGCAGAAACTAATATCACTGGAAAAACATATATCTCTAGTGAGGCCTGGACTACATCAGCTCTGATAGCTAAGCCAGAGTATTTCCCATTCCTTGGAGGAACTATTGGCTTTGGAATCCGTAGAGCAGAAATACCAGGGTTTGAAGAGTTCCTCATGAACATACATCCAGAACATGGCACTGGCACTGATGATCTGATCTATGAGTTCTGGGAAGAGGCCTTTAACTGTACCTGGCCCACCCAGAGGGCAGCCTTTTATACCAACATCAGTATAGAAGCAATTGTTGCAGGTCGAAAAAGAAATATTTCTCCAACACTCTGTACTGGAAGAGAGAAACTTTCTGATATTCATAATACTTACAAGGATGTATCAGAGCTTCGGATCACATACAGTGTTTATAAATCTGTGTACACCATTGCTCAAGCTCTACATGATTTACATTTATGTGTCAGAGGGTCAGGGCCCTTTCCTGGTAATGAATGTGCAAATTTGCTTGATTTCGAGCCATGGCAGGTAAGTGTTAAGTAGCAATGGAGTCAATGTAGGGCAAAAGTTTCTTTTCCACATTAGTGAAAATGTCTTTAGTGTGCAGTAGTATGAACTCTGCAAGAGATAAGGAACAATGGCACCTGTTCTATAGGGCAGCCTGAAAATGCTGGGCATTTTGTTTTTGTTTTAAATCCTACTTTGTTACTAAAATGACTATGGGCAAAACACTCACATTTTCTTCCCTTCAGTTTGTATACATAGGCTCCAACTGGTCCCATCTAGAGATGGTAGAAGACACCAATAATTCTGTCTCTACCAGATCTTGCGTTCAGGGGGTAAATGCTGCAAACATACCATTACTCTGTGATATTATTGAAGGAGCACCAATTCTGCTGGCTAGAATGATGACAATACCAAAATACTTCTGCTGATTTCTGTATGTATTAAAGTGTATCTAAAGCCCAAACTAGTGTTTCAGTAGTGATAGGTTAGCATACCTCCTACCTTTCTGAGATCAGAAAGAGGATCACCTTCCAGCACAATGTATTTGGGAAAAGGACACACCCCTGACACTTCCCCAGGTATGTGGACCAATAAAAATGCATATGCCAAAAATGATTGGTTAAACCCAGATTTGCCTATTTCATAATGGTTTCTCCTTTAAACTGGCATTTAGGAATAGCAACCAAGATAATTAAAGGATAAGTAAAGGGTTTAGTGCAGAATCACGCTTTTGGTAGCTAAATAGAACATGTTCATAGATATCTGTACATCAGACCAAAAAGAAGGACAGCGGTAGGGGAAAGAGCGACAGAGGGATCTGATTCCAAATGAAGGGCAGCCCCACCAAATTAGGGACAGTTGGAAGGTATGAGTTGGAACCCCTTTTGGGATTGTATTGCTGTCTCAGTCACTGCCAGGGAGTGAGGAAAAATCTAAACATTTTGAGTTGCCACCAGAACAGAAAGAGAAGGAAAATCTCTCTAATGGGCACACTTGTTTTGGTGACACCTGTCTAAGAGAGGATTTCCATAATTTTGAAGTGATATCCTCTCGTTTCCCGTTTTGTCTAGAAGCCAGGAAATAAAGGTAAATTTCCCTTATGGGACACAGACAGACAGATAAAAAGTGATAGAGGTTTAAATCATTTCCTTCTCTTCACAAAATTAAAAGAAAAATGTTTTTTGTTTAAGATATACTTAAACCATGTTCAGAGATTATAATTTATATATGGATAAGGACAGCAAACACCATTACCCAAACATTGTTTTATTTCCCTAAAAATGAACCTTATACCCTGGTTTGACATACAGTATCTGCACACTTAAAAGCTTTACAACACACTTTACTTATTCTAAAACCACAATGTAGACTATAAGCAATAAATGGGAAAAATGTAATGCAGGAATCAATAACAACTAAGTGGAACTCCTCTTTCAGTAAATTTGATAGATTGCTTTGGGTTACTACATTTCTAATTACTCTTTGCTCTACTTATTAAATAAGGCTGATACCCCCAGGGCTGAATTTTACCTCCGGTGAGCCCTAGAGACCCTCCTGGGTAGTCCTCCAGTGAACCTCATTACACTATGCTCCCCACTAGCCCACTTACTCCCCCCACTGTGTCTATGCTTCTGTGTACCAGTGGCCATTATGGGTTGGTTCAGCGGATTTCAAAGGATAATTAAGGTAATAACTGTAAAATATATGGTGGCCATTTGGGGGAAGTCTGTATTTCAGTTGGATGAAGTGGTTTTTTTTTTTAAAATAAATATAGAGCAGTTTAGAAAGGAAGGATCAGCAAAGTTATTATAAAAGGTGAAAGGGTATAGATGTCTTTTTATTGCTACGAAAAACGTTTTTAAATGAGAAGGAGAAAGATGCTGACAGCTAAAATCAGTTTTATTTTTACTATGATTGTGGGTCCCCATAATTTTGTAGGTCTAGCATAGTGCTTTCATTGGCCGCTGTACACATTACCCTTAGCCTTACTGAATAAGGCTGAATACATGAGTAACAGTTATTGAGGCATACTATAAAATAACTTTTAACAGGTTTCCCTTCATTCTTTTATTTATTTTTACCAAAAAATTCACACCAGAAAAGTCTGTTTGATGTAAAATCAAGCTATTTGTCTTCTTTCACTTCTATAGGGCTTACCTTCTTTTTTTCTGCTTTTCTACAGCTTATGTATTATTTGAAGAATGCCAAATTCACAGTTTTCACAAATGAATCCATCAGCTTTGATGAAGGAGGAGATGTGGATGGCTATTACGATATTTTAAACTGGCAGTTGCATGATAATCATTCTCTATCCTTTGTAAAAATAGGACACTATAAATACAAAAGTTCTGGAGCATCTAATGAGCTCAAAATAGACAACAGCTCAATATTCTGGAATACGTCAAATTCCCGGGTAGGTGCTATGAACATTGAAACTCATATATTGCCCAGAAACATATCCTAGGCTGGTTTTTATAAAACATATTACATTACATTTCAATACAACAGTGTTTCTCAACCTTTTTGCTGTCACGGCACCTTTTAAAAGTATGCAAAATCTCGGGGCAGTCTAAAATGTAAAAACCATAAATATAAAAAAATTGTGTGATCCCTCTAAAGTCCATACCAGACCCTTATCCAAGATAAGAGGCCAGCTGTAGTTTTCAAGGGGGAACCCCAAGCAAAAACGCAAACAAATGTGGGGTTCAGATTCTAATTCACTTCAGAGTCCCCCTTTCAGATCAGAATTCCCCCCTTCACACCAGAGTTCCCCTTTACATCAAGAGCCGACCTTCTTATTAGGATCCCCGTTTTTTACATCAGGAGCCCCCCCTACACATCAGGAGCACGCTTCTTATTGGAGGCGTGATGGTGTGACAATTTTGAGGCACCCCTGGAGAAGCCAGAAGGAACCTCACGGTGTCATGGCACCCTGGTTTAGAAAAGCTGCCATACAATATACAATTTTTCACTGACCTTTTACACTAGAGGGGTGGGATACTGTTCTCCCTAGACATCGGCTTCTACTGATGGATCAGACATTCGCGTTAAAGCCTATAGAAAAGAACAAGAAAGGCATGCTGTAGCCTCCTTGAGCACTGGCTAATCAGGGGAGTTGTAGGGGGTGGGGGTGGGGGGCAAAGTCACTGCCAGAATCTTCATACACATGAGATTTTGTCCATATCATGCCACTGCTATCACATATCTATGAACACTTTTAGGGCCATTGTGTAAGAGTAAATTGAAGTACTTCAGCACAGAAATGTATGCAACAGTGAAATGAGGGTCCTGCAGTTGATTAAAAGGCAAACCGAAGTGTGACCATACTGTAATACTATGAAGAAGGGTCTGCAGCAGGGGTCTTTTCCCAAATTAAAGAGGAAACACCTTTTTATGCATGCAATAATAACTCAAACTTGCAACCTACCTTCTGAGTGCCATTAAATTGCCATCCTGGAATTTTTCTTGTGTTGCTGCTGGTAGAAATCTGATGGCTATTGATATAATATCCTCAAACTGAGCTTATAGAAAGGCAGGGTAGTGTGTTTAGTAGCTCAGTTACCAGGGCACATTGCAGCCTCACTCACACACGTTTGAGCATGACAGTTAAGCTGTACCACACAAAAACATATAACAAGAAAATGCCATCCCACCCAGAAACACATATAAGAACCATGGTATACTCTGTCTGCTTTAGATTATATGATACAGTTAAATTCAATCAAGTGAGCTTTCTCACTTTAGCTTTTCATTTCCTGGATAACGTGATGTTCATGTTATGAACATTTCTTCACTCATGAAGAAAGAAATACAGATGTATGATTCCTATACAAAACAAAGTACTGATATGTCTCTCTAAATTTCTCTAGCCTCCACAGTCTGTTTGTAGCATGAGCTGTGTTCCCGGCTTCAGGAAAGGCATTAGACAAGGAGAGCCAGTGTGCTGCTTTGACTGCATTCCATGTGCAGATGGCGAAATTACTAATGAAACAGGTAACACGCTCTTTCTGTTTGGAGATATGACGAAAAAAATGAGGGATTCAATAAAATGTACTATGCTTAAACACCAGTCTTTTATTTTTAGAAAATTGCATTTCAAACAAACATTTTCTTAATTATGTATAGAGTGGGATATTTTTGCCTGTGACACCTGCACAAGAAATGGGGGGAGTGGTTATCACTAGGACAGGAAGGCACAGAGACCAATAAAAAAAAACAGAAGTTTTAACTAGGGCTGCGGAAATTAACGATTAATCCCTCGATTAATCGTTAATTTTTTTGATCGATCAAAATTATTTTGATCGATCAAAGTTCTTTGGCTCCGTACTCACCTCTCCGCCGGCTTCCGGGTCTTCCGTCGGAGATCCGATGACATCACGGACATCGACGTCACCGGACTCCTCCCCCCCTTCCACAAGTGGCTCTGTCAGCTAACGAAGGGAAGGGGGGAGGAGTCCGGTGATGTCGATGTCCGTGACGTCACTGGACTCCTCCCTCTCCCCTTCGTTACCTGATGGAGCTGCTTGGGCCGGTGAGTACACCCGGGAGAGACACACTTTTTACCGGAAAGGTTTAATCTGCTCAATCGAGCAGATTAAACCTTTCCCTGGGATCGTTTTTTTTTTTTTCTTTTCTGACATCGGGAGCCGCGGCCTGACCGTCAGTCAGAAAAGAAAAAAAAAGGCATACGATTGCATAGCTAGATTACTATTGGCTATTGCACTTTGCAATAGCCAATAGCAAACTAGCTAATGCACCCGCCCACTGCTGCTGTCAATCAGCAGAGGGGGACCTGAATTTTTCTATCAGGTCCTCTTCTGGTGATTGAAAGCAGCAGGGGGCGGGTGCAATAGCTAGTTTGCTATAGGCTATTGCAAAGTGAAATAGCCAATAGGAATCTAGCTATGCATTCTTATGCCTTTTTTTTTTTTAGTCTGACAACTGCAAAAAAAAAAAAAGTCTGCAGATAGCAAAGAAGCTATTGCTTCCTGTGCTATCTGCCATCATTTCAGGGGGGTGCTCTCTCCCAGACCCCCCTAACCCCCCCTCCGCGGATGCGGGGGAGAGGGCACCTCCCTGAAATGAGAGGGACACCTCCCTGAAATTGCTTATTTCAGGTTGGGATCCCTGGCATTGGCCTATACACATACAGCACAGCAATGAAGTAATAAAATGAACTAGGATCACACTAATCCAGCACGTTATTATTCTGAGTTGCCCCACTCAAGCGGCGGCCATATTGAGTGGGGCACGTGAGATTAATAACGTGCTGGATTAGTGTGATCCTAGTTCATTTTATTACTTTATTGCTGTGCTGTATGTGTATAGGCCAATGTAGTTGGATGTGTATGTGCGTTATAATTAATCAAAATTAATCGATTAATCGATTTAAAAAAATTTCGATTAATCGAACAGGACATTTTTAATCATTACCAGCCCTAGTTTTAACCCTTTGTCATTCTATTAAATATGTGTCTTTGTCTCGGTTGGAGAGGTTTCCTATTTCTTCCTTTCCTGACAGAAAGTGAGGAGAATTGCTCACAACAGGAACACAGATTTCAATAAACATTCGATAGAGGGTCTAAGCATTCCCCGCTAAATTCAAATGGAAATAAAACATTTTTGGCTGGAGTTGGGTTTTAAAGATCGTTTCCAAATGCAGTAATGTTTGTTGACACTGCTTACCAAGTTTGAGCTGGCATAGTTACCATTTAATGTGCCCAGACATAGATCAGCATACAAAAGCTCTGGACATGCGTTCTCGGGGAACTAAACGGTTGGGCAGGTTAGAAAACTTTGCTCAATTACTACTGCTCTTCCTACCTTCTCTGTTTCTCTAAACATGAGGGTTTGTGTGACTAGTGTGCTTCTATGTACAGGAGAAGCTGGCCCAAGAGATATTGATATGGTTGAATTTTGTATGGACGTCCAGCTGAATCAAACAGCTGCTAAGAATGTGCCTATTAGATTCATACCTTAGCTTACAAAATCCACCAACATTTGGGATTCTGTCACATCTATAGATCTAATGAAGGGGATCCTATTGAAACATGTTGGCTATACATGCAGACTTTGTTTGAACCTTTTATAGATTATACATTTTTTTTGGACCTCAATACTCTGATGTGGCACACCTATCCCTACATCCTCTTCTAGTGATTAGTATTGACTGCTATACACCAAACAGCATGCACCTTCTTTCTGAAGTCATACTTTTAACTGTTAAATATACTTATAAATATTCTTGAGTTTTTATAGTGGTTCTCCAGGCAAACAGCAAATGATACAGTTGAAATAAATGTATCTACTTTTTTTTACCTTACAATGGACTAGTCATTGTGTCCAGATTTACCTACTTTTGCCACACTGAACATCTGGGAAGATCACTCAGCCATTAACTGGATTAGGTTTCATGCTTTCTGGATTACTTTTCTCCTAATTTAAATTATTTTTATAATTCTTTATTTTGTCAAAATATAGGAATCTATACAAAAACACTTCAAATACAATGTAAAATGTATTAAAAAAACAACAACGATATCTTGTTACAGACCTTGTAAATTAACTCAAATGCATGAATCCTATAGATTTTCAATTTTTGAGAGTAGTACATATGAACAGAACAGTACACCAAGCAGCTAAGAATGAAAATAAGGGAAATAGAAGACGACCATTACTCCTAATTTTAATTTGATTCCTTCTCCAGAGGGCAGAGTGGAGACAGAAGTGACATAGAAATGTATTGCTAAATCAGGTATCACCTAGATTTCTCACCTACACTCTAGCACCTCGCGGCAATTTTTACAGAGTATACACAAATCATATATTTTGTGATGAAATAACATTTGAGTTATGTGCAATAGTGCATACCTGGCTCACCTGTGGTATATTTTGTGGGGGCATATCACAGGTCCCCAGATATGCACTATTAATCTCCAAAAACGACTGCACTTCACAGCCTGCCTTGCGCCAATAAGATTAATAAGCTGCGCGCACCCAATCTATAAAGTGTTAAACAAAAAAATGGTGTATATGGTGCCATGCTCCCAATACCCGCAATCACTCAAAACAATTTACCACATGTATCCGTGTATAGTGAATGATATAAATCCCAGTGTATTCCCAACTCAATTGGTAGAGCAATGTATATCACTCTGCGTCAATGCAATTAACTCAAAAAACCATTCGCATTTATAGTGCAATCCAAACGCTTATGAAGTGCTCCAATTAGTGCCCTCTCATGTATGCCTTCAAAACAAGGTGTCCCCCCCTCCTCATGTGTTATACCTTTAAAGGAGAACTATGAGGTGAGTGATTTTCACTCATCCTCATAGTTTGAGCAGACGTGTGACAATGAAACTGTCACAGGCCGGCTCAATAGATCGGGAAGTGAGCGAACACATACAGGCGTTCGCTCACCTCTCGATCATGTCCCTGCAGAGAGCCGTGACTGACACTCACAGCTCCCTGCATGGATTCCCCCACTCCGATCCTCCAGCGCTGACTGGCGGAACGAACGTGGGAGGGGGCAGGTACAGCTGTCACTCACGCAGGTGGGCGGATCCAGACATAATTGTCGTAATCTGCTTCAGCTGCGGCGTCTCAGTATACCGCGAGCAGCAGCTCGCGGTATACTGCGGCGTCTCAGTATACCGCAAGCTACAGCTCACGGTATACTGAGCCTAGGGTGACGGGAGGATGCTAGTTTGTGTCCTCCCGTTACCCTAAGGAGAACTATGGGGAAAAGCATTAACCCCATAGTTCTCCTTTAAGCATAGTCAACCTGCCTTCAATGTTCTTCCCAAACTACTGTCAGCCTGCCCACTACTTTTAGGTATAGAGGAACATGTGAAACCCCCCTATCTCCTAGCAATCCATTGATCAATTCCTGAGCCAGTGCTGCAAAATGGGGGACAACAGAGGTCCATATCTGTGTAGAAGATTAAAATCAAACCTCACACAGGACGTGTCAGAAGTTTCTCCCGACCCCCGCTGCACTCAATGGGACTACTCGTAGGTTCCTACGTCACTACTGGGTCCTAAAGTGACATTGAAGGAAGGAGATGGAGGCACAGTGCACTGCGTGGGACACAATGACTTAACAAGCTCAGAAGGGTTAAACGCTGAAGATGCCAAGATCCTATCAGCACTGCTGCAGTCAGAGGAGAGGAAGGGGGAGGGGCGATTAGACACCGTGAGAGGAGCCGACAGCAAGAGTCGGCAACTGACATCACCGGGGGTATGTGCAGCTTACTTAGAAAGCCACGATCCGGTTTGAATACTGTGTACGGGCATCAGGTGGGGTGATTCCCGGGCACAGGATTCAAATCCCGGACTGTCTGGGTGAAACTCGTACGGGTGGCAACCCTACTTCATATATGTGAACTGACTGTTGCTCAGGGATCTTTCTCTTTTGCTCTCTCTGTTGTGAGAGCAGCTAAAACTAAAGAGGTACAAATGATGTTGGTTTGTTGTAGGGAACCCATTAGGGGACACCTTGGGTTTAGTAACTGACTTAGGTTTTGTACGTGGCTCAAACAAGCAGATGTTTTGTTTTTGCAATGGACTTGCTGTACAAAGCCCTCCTGCACTCAAACAATGTTTATTTACTAAACCTTGCTGAATAAAAGTGCAGGGCAAACCTGCTTGCACTGTTCCTAGGTGTCCCTGGCTCATGCATAGTTAACCACTGTTGATAGAAGGTGAGCCTCTCCCCCTTACAAATGGTAAAAGAGGAAACAAATATGTATTGTGTACTGTATAGTAAACTGTGTGCCTGGAGTTCTACTTTAAGAGTGACCATAGACATTAGTGGGTGGAGGCATGATCCAACCACCAAAAAAGGCACGCCGGGGGAAAACAATAATGGTGGGTCAAAATGATCTCAGATGGACAGTTTCTGATTCTTCCTAAAATGGTCAGATTTCAGTGTGTAGCATGCTATACAGATATATAGACATACATATTAACACCTAATCTGTTTAAAACAACAATTGTGTAAACAGAGAAATTGGAACATACCTTTTAGCATATGATTTTTCAAAGAGGAAGGTTCCTAGAAAGGATTTCAAAAAAGGTTATCTTTAAGGATATGCATGGCAAAGTAACAGGTTCTCTTAACTGCCTCTCTCCCCAGTTTTACATACTTTCCCTCAGTTTCACTGCCCCTCTTTTCTGTTCAGCTGCTGAAAGTGAAGAGAAGTATCCAGTACTTCAGTGTATGGGGAGAATGGGCCTTACTACCCCTCTTCCCAAATTACAACACTTGTGTTTGGGCATTCATGGGGCAGGGAGAGAACCCTATGTCTTGAGTAAGCCCCAAGTCGTGAAGTACAGGGCTTCATTTCTATGCTCCCATGGGCCAATTGGAGCAGTAGGAATCCAAAAGAAAGGTGAGTCTGTGACATTGGGGAGGGCAGCAATTGAGTGAGTTTATTTGTCCTACACAGGCAAAGTGACAGTTTTTCTTTAAAGCTGAACTCCAGTCAAGGATTTGTATTTCTTTCATTCAGTTCTAAGATTTACATAACACAGTCTGTCCTTTCTTCAGCCCATGAATGGACAATGAAAGGAGAATCAGCAGGCTCATGAGCTCATCTCTCTGTCATTCTGCTTTCTCCTTCTATCAGCATGTTCATTGCTAGCTCATGAGCACTGCAGCACAACAGACTGGTTTCTTGTGCTGCTACACTCTCTCCTAGTTTAAGTTCTGGTGTACAGTGGTTTGCAAAAGGCTGATACCAAGTCAAAACAAGGTACTAACTAACTAACTAACGCAAATAACTCTTACTAATACTGATTACTGAATACACATTCTATTATAATATACACATTGAAAAAATATAAAAATAATAAGATCAAATGCTTGAAAAAATAATAATTTTCATTACTTTTTTTTTCGTAGATGCAAGAGAATGCATAGCATGCCTTCCAGACTTCTGGTCTAACACACCCAAGAATGAATGTGTTTTGAAGGAAGTGGAGTTCCTGAACACAGATGAAGCCTTGGGGATCACACTGATATTCTTGTCTGTGTTTGGTGCTTCCTTGGTTATTGCATTTGCTATTATCTATACAATTTATAGGGATACAGCATTAGTCAAGGCAAATGACCGCAGTTTGAGTTTTCTCATTCAGTTCTCACTGGTATGTACTTTTATGACATCTATTCTTTTTGTAGGCAAACCAGAGGCATGGTCATGCATGGCCCGGCAAACCACCTTAGCTCTTGGATTTTCATTATGCCTTTCGAGTATACTTGGTAAGACTATTGTTCTGATGTTAGCAAAGCGAGCTACTAAAGCTACTAAAGCTAAGGGTAATAAAACCTCTCAGATAGTCATGACACCACTGTATCAAAGAATAGTTGCAGTAACTGGCTTTATTATTGAAATTGGGATATGTATAGCTTATCTAATCCTGAAGCCACCCTGGGTTTACAAAAATATGGAATCCCAAAACATTAAGATAATCCTTGAGTGTAATGAAGGTTCCATTGAATTCTTGTGCTCTATGTTCGGCTTTGATGTCTTCCTTGCCATCCTTTGCTTCATAACTGCCTTTATAGCTCGGAAACTTCCTGACAATTTCAATGAGGCTAAATTTATTACATTTGGAATGCTGGTGTTCTTTATTGTTTGGATCTCTTTTGTTCCAGCCTACCTGAGCACACGAGGGAAATTTAAAGTAGCTGTTGAAATCTTTGCCATTTTAGCATCTAGTTTTGGTTTACTTGGCTGTATTTATGTCCCTAAAGGGTATATAATTCTGATAAAACCAGAAAGAAACACAGAAGAAATTGTTGGAGGTAGAGCTGCCACCAATGATAAGAGTGCACCAGCAACATCTGCTTCCATTACGAGTGAGATAAACAGCACAACAGTATCCACAGTTGTGCTGGATGATTAAAGACTGGACGTGTATTTGCTTAGTTTACCAAAAGGGTACTAAGCATATTTATTAACAATACAAATAGCGGTTTGTATTGTTAGAGACCACATTGTCAGGAAGACCACATAACTTTAAAGGAGATATATAGTTTTTTTTACATATTATCTTTCGTTACTTAGCATGGTCAGGACTAAAAAAAAATGTAAAACATGTTAAAAATGTTTTCCATTTTTGGTCACATAAACAAGACATTTAAAAAAATATTATGCTGTTTTCTGCCCAGCCAGAAAGTAGAGCTCTGGTTTAGTTTTCACATCATTAGCATGATATTTGTCAGCTGTGCTGATATAAGTCCCTTGTTTCCAGTACTCTAATGAGTCATCAGAATAGTGACTCCTCCACTATCAGAGGGCTGAAACTGGCTTTACACTGAGTGACTTTTGGCCAGTTCTTGATAAGCTGCCAAAATGTGCTCAGTGGGTGGTCCTGTCTGCCAGACAAAAATTGTTGGCTGACCAGCACCTGTATCCAATCAAATGCAAGCACAGTTCGGGTATTTTGACATCCAGCAGGGCTGACTGTCAAAATGTAATAGCTGCAGAGAGAGAATTCTCCATTCATGCTGTTCAGCATGGATGGAGGAATCTGTTAAATTCCTTCTATTCAGCCCAAAGGTGGAACAAAAAAAATCTATGCCCAGCTTAAGTAAGGTACTTGTACATCCTTTTAGCGATTGCCGCACGGATGTCCCCCCATTGAAATCAATAGGGCCGCGTGGCAATCGCTGTGTCCTGGGTATCGTGCATTGTAGTGCAGGTGTAAACCTAGCCTCAGACAAACATAACTGCAAAGCACGTTGCCCTTGCTGTGTTGTCTTTTTAGCTGACCGATAGTGCTCTAGGAACCCTTTGTCATGTATTAAATGTTCATTTGTAAAACAAAGATTGGATACACATAGTAATAAACAAACAAACAAACAAACAAACAAACATAAAACAGTTAAAAAATGTTAAAACTAAAGACAATACATGAAAATAAAATTGACCAAAAACCATTATAGTTTAACTTTAAGCTGTTTAATGTAGCTGTAGTAATGAGAGCTGCTTTGACTTATTGCAAATTTTCTTTGCTATGTTGTTAAACATAGCTCTATCCACTGAATATGCAGAAATAATACATTTTAAACATTTTTGTAACATAATAGCTTTTATGAAATATTTACTTTTATTCAGGTCTGATTTTGGAAATAAAATGAAAGCATAAGAATATATTTTACAGAAAAATAAGGGAAACTAAACCTAAAATAAAAAGTAGCAGTCACACACCTAGCATTTATTTTTTTTTACATTTAATGGTTTGTATTATTGAGAATAAGAAGGTATGAGCATGAACAAGCAAATATTTGTAACATGCACTTTTTAATACTTTTTTTAAAAGACATGTCCTACATGTGGCTGTGCTATGAGTGAAATTTACTGATGTTTTGGGGTTTAACTTTCATATATGTTCTCTCTATACTACAAGCTGGGTGGCTTTTGATCAAATATAATGATATACTTATTGAAGCTGTTTAAAGGTAACCTATACTGAGAGAGGCTGCCATTGCTGACATCTCCTTCTGAAAATGCTGTTATGCTGACTCTTTAAGGCAATGACCTGTCGCAAAGTCTGTAGATCAGGACTTCTGACATTTTAATCTGTGTGCTTGTTCCAGGTCAATAAGTACTGGAGACGTAGGCGCGCAGGTAACTAGAACTATTAGAAATTCAGCATTGACAGCCCTTGTACTTCTATCGGGACAGGTGAAAAGCATACATTATTTTTAATTTTTATGATATGTATCAGATTAGGTCCAAATAATTTTTGGAAACTTTTGTTGACAGATAACACTTTGCTTAGGTAGCAGAAATGAACATGAAGTTCTTTTGTAATTGAATATGTTTAAGCTATAAAGAAATAGAGACCTAAAACATTTTTTTCAATGTATTGTTTCCATTGCTACATTTTATAAGTAGCACATCCTTAGATATGTACCGCAAACTATTATCAACACCGAAATTATTTTAAAAATAACTGCCATAATATTATATTGCAGTTATAAAAATTCCAACTTTTTTACTTGCTCAGTAATCTATCAGAAAGCATAATCTGTATACATATGAATCTATTATTAAATGAATAACTTAATAATAGCTATACTTAATTAATTTAATAATAGCTATAAGCTTTGTCCAAGTTACAGGTGCAGTTACTGGGTTTGCATTTATTTTCCATGTTGAGATGGGAAGTGTTAATGGATAAAATCACACAATGAAAAAGCGCCACTACTGTAGAGAAAACACTCATGTTACTGCATGTGAGTGTTTTGTGAGCTGGTCGCATGTGAGCTGGTCTTACGATGCCGGGAGAATATGCAGAGGAACAGTCTGAAAGCTGTCAGGGGTGATCGTTTGAAGAACGCGGTCTCAGCTGGCCAGGATGAGCCGCGGCTACATGAGTATAAGGCGATGTCAGTGCCGGACCGTTCGGGGATCACAAGAGTCTGTGCGAGCGGTATCTCGAGGATGTCATAAACGAGGGAGAATGAAAGAGATGGACAAGGATAGTGTCCAATGACGGCGGCTACGCGTTTTGAGGCTCTGCCTCTTTGTCAAGCCTAAGTGAGAAGTGCAGTGACTCTGCCTCAGTGACTGCACTTCTCACTTAGGCTTGACAAAGAGGCAGAGCCTCAAAACGCGTAGCCGCCGTCATTGGACACTATCCTTGTCCATCTCTTTCATTCTCCCTCGTTTATGACATCCTCGAGATACCGCTCGCACAGACTCTTGTGATCCCCGAACGGTCCGGCACTGACATCGCCTTATACTCATGTAGCCTTAATTTACTCTTTCCAAAAAATATGCATTTTTACTGTTGGAAATTTTCTTTTACTTCCTGTTTTGTAAAACTGATGTGGGGGAATATCTCCCTAATCAAGCCCTGCATAACAGTAAAACCCAACAGTAAAATCCTGCTACACACTATCCAAAACTACCAAGAACCTTTTTGGGCTGAACTTAAGCTGTCCATACGCCAGTAGAATAAAATCAATGATAAATTTCGACTGTACCACAGAACAAAACCAAATAGTGGGATGGCAAATTTTTGGTGGACAAACAAAATTCTAGCAGTGAATGTCATTTTTGTCTGAGGAATTCCATTGATTCCAAAATCAACTCTCAGATGGCATTATTGGCATTATTGAATGGCCTAATTATATTTTTTTGTACAAACTTTGTATAAAAATCTACCATTGTATGGCCAGATTTAGTAGGACACAGGAATTCAAAGTCTTCCTTACTCAAGTAATTTATTCTCCTCTTATTTGAAGTTAGTCCTAAAGTAGAGAACTGTTTGTTGATATCAAGCTCCAGACTAGGGGGATATCTGGCATGATGCAAAGCTTGTGTTTTTTTACTGTATGCATGTCAGGCTGTATCCACATAGATTATTATTGTGTTTTGAGGAGCAATGCATTGGTTCCATTTGTTCATTTTTATGATATACAGGAAACATTCATATGCTAGAAAATGCATAGAGATAATTCAAGAGAGACTCCCATATGTGCCATGTGCACCAGCAGCCTGGCATCACTGAGATCTTGTTTACTCACATTTACACACTGTGTGGAAGAAAAAAAAGTTGCTGCACATAAAATGTGAGGTATATGAGCAGCCATCCGCCAAGCCCAAGTGCTGTAATGTGGGGGCTGAGACATGGGGAGAACCCTGTGCACGTTTGACTTCTCAGCATGTCAAAACAGGAAGCTGAAGGCAAGCCCTTAGTAAAAGAAAGGCCACAGTTGACCAGAGTAAAAGCGGGCTACACAAATTACAATCGGATTGTACAATCTCTGTAGATTTAACAAACACCGTTGGGGAGGCTTAATTTAAAAAAAAAAAAGTTTATACTGAATCAAGAGGGTCCACAAATTAAATTTGTTAGTAAATTTTAAAGGGTTAGTTCACCTTTATAGAAACATACCATATGCAGTCCCTAAACACCATTCTATAACCCTAAACTAATCAGATTTTACAAATATGCATTTATTCTCCATATCTGTAGACCATTTGTACAAAGAGTGAAGCCTGCTCCCAAAAAATCCAGCTCGTTTTCAAAGTTCCTTTCTAGAACGGACAAGTCATTAGGATGAGCGCACACCCCCACCTCCCCAGTGGTACAGGAGTGAGAGCCGCCCTTCTCCTGAGTCCCCACACATGTACAGTGTGCTCTGTCTTTTGTAGCAGCCACTGAGCTCTTCCAAGGTGCCAGGAGAAGGACTGCGCACATTCCTATACCGCACAGGGGGCACAAGGACTCGTAAAAATGTTATGTTGATCTAGATTCATAAGTAGGGCTTAATGGATAAGAATTAAATATTGAATTGCATTTATTTTTTAAATTGTTGGATGTTTAAGATCACATTGATCTTATAATGCAAGCTCACAATCCAGGACTAATTGCAAGTAGTGTTATGTGAACCCTTGTCTTAATGGGCCAAACGACCACACACTTTGAAGCTCAAAAGCTTCCGAAAGTTACTGCTTAAACTTCCAGTCCTCATTAAGCTTTTGTGGTCTGTGAGTGGTAGCCACCCCTATAGCTTGCCCATTGTATGTCACAGTTCTGAATGAGGATGAAAGCGTTAGAAACTGTCAGTAATTCATAAAGGATAATTACAGCATGTTCATGTACAGAATGTAGGCTGCTTCTTCCATCACCAAGCAAGTTACTTCTAATTGTTTCTAATTGCTTTTCATGTCTCCATTATAATTGTGTTTTATGGATGGATTATGAGATGAATAAAGTATCTATGATCAATTGTGTTTGGCTGTGATTATGATTAAATTGATAAATAAAGTTTCCAATTTTGTCAAATAATTTGTGTTTCCTTTTGTAAGTATTGAATACGGTTGTACACAGGAATATCCCCATTTTTGTTTTAGGGATTAAATGTCACTATACCAGTTCATCTCAGT